CCGAGGGGACGCCTCGGGAGACCCTCGGTCCTGGAAGGGAGAGGGGCGGCCCCAGGGCCCCAGCTGGAGGGGGAGCGGGGGCGTCTGCGCCCGGAAGAGGGGGAAGGAAAAGGGCGGAAATTGCAGGTGCCTGAACCCGCAAGGTCTCCACCCAGTAGACGGAAGTAGAAGGAGATGCGTTCTCAATATGAAGTGTCTGCCCTTGCGCCCTGTAAATGTGCGCCCCTGAGCTAAAAAACCTTTACGGAGCACCTGCTTGGGGGCCTGCACTAAGCACAGCTGAAAAAACAAAAAAAAAACAAAAAACCCTCAAATTCAGCCTAGAGCTCTCTAGAAGATTCCATGACAAGCTTCTCTGCCCCTAACTCTGTATGTTGGATAAATGGACTGATCCACAAGCTTATTCTGCAAATTATAATTTGCCTGAAATGACAGACAGATTGAGCGAGAGTTGCCAGTGACCAGTTCAATTTAGTGTCGTCACCACCACACCCCATGCACCCCCGAGTTTCCACATCAACAGATTCATAGCGTGCTAAACAGATGAGAAAATTAATGCAGGTTTTATTTCAAAGCTACTGAAGTAACAACTTACTTTGGCTCTAATGTAGATTCTTTCAGGGAGTGACTCATTTAAAATGACTAATATTTCAAAAGCTTTCAGGTTTCCAGTTTTGTAGTGGGCGCTCGAATTTGACAGAAGGTACTAGGTTAAATCTTCTGTACAATGGAAATGGCTGTTAATGTCTATAATGTCTATATGGAGTATCCACCTCAGGGGAAGCTGAGAGATTTCTGTGCATAAAGTGAAGACTTGCTTTGGGAAATAGCTAATTTAGGCTTTTGCCTTGTGTGTTAAATAACAAGATTTCTTTGCTTGTTTTAGTAAATCAATAGGGGCTTTTAGTTTTTACAAATGCAAACCAACATGTCCACTAGTAAAGGCAAAATAAGGCTGCAAGGGGGCAAGATTTGCCATGGATGGTTCAAGTGACAAGTATTTAAAGAATAAGGACTGTCATGTAGCAGTGGAGACTTTGACTAGCAGCCTGATGTGTTCTATTTTTTTCTCTACTCAGGTCTTACTTCATCCATTTGATTGTCTCCTCTGTGCCCTGATAGCCACAGTAATAAAATAGCAGCAATAAAAACATTGTCTGGGGCTGAGGGGTGAATCTGTGTGCACATAGGCATGTGTGTGTCCTAGCATTGTCCCGTGCAGCGTTACTGTATTACATTTTGGGAACGACAAGGTGGTAGATGTCTTCAGTGTTCAAAGACTAGAGAAAAACGAAGTGAAATGCTGTTAAAAGTGGTAGGTCTGAAGTTCAGAGATTAACGTGTGTTAGCCGGACACTAACAAGATATACGTGACAGTACTAAGTATTTCTCCATCCCTGCCCGGAAGACTAGAATGGTCTTTGGGGTTATGTTACACAGTAAAATGAGAAAGAGCTCAAGTAAGCTCACATAAATGCATCGTTCCGATTGGAAAGCCATCTCAAGAGTGATCTTTGCAGTGCCATAACAGCTCCAGTAGGCTATAATCTCCCTCTGCATCACTTTCACTGAGTGAGGCATAGGCACAGGGCTTTGCGGTCGGAAGGGGGCCGACCTTGCCTTGTCA